GAGAGAGAGAGAGAGAGAGAGAGAGAGAGAGAGAGAGACTATTTCTATGAGAGAGTGTCTGTGTGCCCAAATCAAATGATAATTTTGAAGACCAATATCATTTTCAGTTAGGCAATTGCACTTTCCTTATTACATAAAGACATGCCAGGGACATAAATATCAGGGCTTTTAGAATTGTTCTTGAGAGAATTTGATAGAAAAGCAAAATATCTACTTAGACTGACCACCCTCCCTTTTTTTTTTGATAAGGCGAAAAGCGCAGTCCATGTTCAATAAAATAATCTTATTTTTACCTTGTATCACAGATTCCTATCACTTTAAACCCAGATTTAGCAGGAGTCATTGAATCTGGCAAAACTTAACTTGTAAGAAGATGCACCATTCTTGAATGAGAAGACCTGTGACAATTTGATTAGCTTACTTTAAAATAATGTCACTGATACCCAAGAATAAAAATTTATTCTCAGGGTTGAGCATTTGGAGAATAAAACCAGGGACCCATGTATGTGCCCTATATGCACCATGACATCTTTTTCCCTTTTATTTCTCTCATTTAAGCTGTGTTGCCTGGCCTTGGGCTCTGAATATGCTGTCTCTCTCAGGACTTTGTTCCATCCATTACCTCTTATTTTTCCTGTAATTTTCTATAACCTCCCTCAGTTTTAAAATTTGCTTGAGTTTGTTGAAGAAACAAACCAAAACTAAGTCCCCCCAAACAAAACCAAGTGTCACTCAACTCTTCATCTCCTTCTAGCTGCTAAGTCATTTCTCTTCTTTGTTTCAAAATCGTTTATTTATTTATGTGATTATTTTTAACAGCTTTGTTGAGATACTAAGATATACCAAGCTAAAATGTTTAAAATATTTAGTTGGATATATATGTATGTGTGTGTATAATATATATACATATCCATGAAGCCACCATGAGATTCAAAATAATTAACATATATATCACCCCCCCCCAAAACTTCCTATTGTACTTTTTGAAATTTTCTCCCTCTTGTCTCTCCCTGCTCCCTTTCTCTATAGATCTGTTTCTTGTCATTTTAGATTAATTTGCATTTTCTAGAATGATTATAAAAGTAATTCCCCCCACAGTTTGCACCCTTTGCCTTCTTTCACTCAGCATCATTATTTTTAGATCCACTCATGCTCAAGCATATATCAATAGTTCATCCTTTTTATTGTTGAGAAATTTTCCATTACATGACATATCTAAAGTTTTTTAATCAATTCAACCACTCATGGTCTTTGGGTTGTTTCCAGTTTGGGCTACTATGAGCAATGTTGCAACGAGATTCATTTGTAAGTCACTGTATGGACATAAATTGTCATTTCTCTTAGGAAAATACCCAGGAACAGAATGAATCATAAGGTGGGTGTATATTGTCCCACAGTTCACTGGTGATCTGTTTTTGTTTTGCTTTCTTTTTTTCCTCTGTGAGTTTTATTTGGATAGTTTCTCTTGCTATGTCTTCAAATTCACTAATCTTCTTCTGCAGTGCCTGATCACTGCCAATCTTATCCAGTGATTTTGCACGTTTGTCATGCAACTTTTATCTTTAGAATTTCAGATTGCATTTCTTTTTATATCTTCCATGAGTTGACATGTTCAATCTTTAGCTATTGAATATACATTATTAATAACTATTGCATTATTGTCATTTGTGTTATTTCTGGTTGGAATGTTTTAGTCAGTTTCTGCATCTCTGTGACCAAATGCCCAACAAGAACAACTTAGAGGGGGAAAAGTTTATTTGGAACTCATGGTTCTAGAGGTCTCAGTCCAGAGAGCTGACTGCATTGCTTTAGGCACAAGATGAGACAGCACATCCTGGGGGGAAGAACCCAGTAGAGGAAAACTGCTCAACTTGTGGTAGTGAGGAGGCAGAGAGAAAGAGAGAGAGAAAATGGTACCTATGAGTGCATTGGCTTCCTCTTCCCTCTTTCCTCCTACCATCCAGTCCCTCAGCCCATTGGGCTGCACCACCCACATCCAAGATGTATCTACCCCCCTCAGTTTACCATTCCACATGTCAAAAATCTCTGGAAACACCCTCATCAACCCACCCCAAAGTGTCTTAACTCAATCAAGCTGACAATCCATATTAACCATCACAAGGACTGATTGATTTTTCTCCATTTTATAGCTCATATTTTTCTTCTTCTTTGTATGCCTCATAATTTTTGATAGGATGTCACACATTGTGCATATTACCTTGTTGTTTGTTGGATATTTTTTGTGTTCTCATAAATGTTCTTGAACCTTATTCTGGGACACAGCTAAAAACTTGGCTCTTTGGGGTTTTGTTCTTCCAATTTATTTGATGGTTCCAGGATTAGCTTTTGTCTAGGTTTAGTTTGATTCCCACTTTTGAAGCAAAACCTTCCTTGCCTTAACTAATAACTGACACCTCCCCAGAAGTGAGTTTTCCTCCCTGGCTGTTGAGACAAGCGCTATATCTTTGTGAGCACTGGACGCTTTTTATTCTCATCCTCTTACGTGTTTTTTTTTTTTCCCTGACCTTGAGGGATTTCTTCGTGTACATGATCAACTAATCAACTAATTTCTAGAGGGACACTCTGCAGTGTCTTGGTACTCTCACTGTCCTGCTCCCAACACTTGCAGTTCTACCTCCTCTCAGGGGCTGGTTCAGTTCCTCCTCCATGGCAGTCTGGGGACCTTCCTCAACAAGCTGAGGACATTGTAGGGTGGTTTTTTGTTTTCATTTGTGTTCTGTCTTGAAGAGAACATTGTTCTTTATTGACTGATATCCAGTGCTAACTGAGGATTGTTTTATATATTTTGGTCTAGTCTTTTTTTTTTTTTCTTTTTTGGAAAAGAAATTGGAAGAGAAATCCAATTTCTCTTTCTTCATCTTGATCAGGAGAGAAAGTCTCATAGCAAAGATTTTAAAAAGTAGATTTCTACCATTACCTCTTCCTCTTCACCTCAGGCATGGTCATGGGACCACTACAATAAGGGATCCGGCTGAATGAAGCTCTTAACTTGCTTTTAGTAAACCTGCTGGCAAGCCATCTGGACTTCACCAGTTATTTGACTTCTCTTGGCCATGACCTTCTCTGTTATTTGATTCCTCTCTTTTCTCTCTGAGCTCACCACAGTTTTTTTTGCTCACTCATCCTTCTGTACCCTGACCTTGACCTTTCCACTCCACACACACACACACACACACACACACACACACACACACACTGACAAATCAAGCTCATTTACTCCATAGCTGTGAGCCTGAAGTCTCCACCTCCAGCCTGAAGTCTGAGATCCAGGGCCATCTATCTATCCAACCCAGAAAATCTCTGTCAAGAGTCTCAATTTAGATGATCTAGATCTTGACAGAGATTTTTCTGGGTTGGATAGATAGGAATCTGTCAATCATCTTTCCCTCTTTCACCTTCATTGTGCTATGTCTTCCAAGGGAATCTCTGTCAAAACTCTTTACCTGGCCACCACCTACACATCCTTCTAGTTTCCTTTTGAAAAGTCACTTCTTCATGGAAGATTTTTCTGGTCCTTCAGGCTAGTTTAGGTCCCTTATTATAAGTTCTTTTAGGACCCTGAACTCCTCTTGTTTGCACATAACTACTATGGAATTGTATATGTATTATCTAATTATTGTGCTATTAGTCAAATATCTTTACATTTTAATCTGTGAATTCACAAGAGATAGAACAAGGCATTTTTATTTACTTCTGCATCCCTAATACATTTCTATCACTCAGTCGATTCCTAGTAAATGTGTTGATCAGATTAAACTTCTTTATGCACACTGAGTTTATAACTGAGTTTTAGGAGGGGGAGGGGGAGAAAGGAGGAGACAGAAAGGGAGGG